ACTCTCTCTGAGAAGTGATGTCAAAGCAAACACATATGGGGCAACTCAGGGCTGGACTGCAGCCTGCAGCTCCTGTGCTGCACCCAGGCACCCACGCAGGGCAGAGGAGCACAGAGCCCTGCTCAGAGCTCAGCCCAGCATCTGAGCTGAGAACAGCCTTGAGGGATGCTCCCAGCAGCCAGACACGCAGCGCAGCCAGTGACACGGGGTTCTGGAACTCCCGAAACCCCGCTCTGCCGCGGTGGTGATAGCCACCAGCACAGCACAGCTGCCAGCCACAGTTCCCTTCCCTTGGCCAGGCCCCTGCTACACACAGGCCACTGCTGGGCTGGCCCACAGGTTTTCATTTCTCTGTCTTTGGGGCTGGCAGTGTGGGAAAATTTGAAAGTGATGTGAGTAATTTCACCTGACTGCGGCTCGGCTCCCCGGCAAGGCTGGAAACCACAGCACTCGCCCTGGCCACCAGCTCCTGCACCCAGACACCCTGTGCTGAGGGGGATGGATCCTGCTCCCTCCAGATGCTCCCAGCCTTCCCTCTTTATGGCTGGGGTCCTGGGGACACCTGGCTCCAAGGGTCACAGAGGGGTTATGGGACTTTCCCCTCCCTTCAGGCTCCTCTGCATCCATGGATGGACAGTGCAGGGTTTTCCAGCACTTTTGGCTCTCGGGATGTTGGCTGATGTTCTGGGAGCTGTGGTTTGTGCAAGGCAGGCAGTACCCTGTTATCCTTTATGGGGAGCACAGCATCCCTTGAAGTCACATCCCCAAAGAAAATTTAACAGCATGAAATCTAATATTTTTCACTATTGCAAGGGGTAGTAGAGTTAAACTACTTTATTTTAGTTCTGAATTGTCTTCTACCAGAAGATTAATTAAAGTCATTCCTATGCATAAAAGCAGCGGTGGAGCCTAGCACTGGTGGGATGTTGGGATCCTCAGCAGTCCCACAGGCAGTGTGGTGTGACCCCTGCTGCTTTTAATAGCTGTGTTCAGTTGTAGCAAGGAATACTTTTCACAGGTTACAAAACATCCTCTTTTTTTTTCATTTGTTTCTTTTCCTAAACTGATACAAGCAGGAAAAAAAAAAAAAAAACAACTTATTTTTTTTCTACAGTATTTTCAGAGTTAAAAACTCAAAAGAGTTTTACCAGCCATGGAAATTCTTTAGTTTGATCACTTCCCCTCGTGTCAATTCAATATTCTTGGGAGAAAACATTTACATCAGGTTAATTTTATGGAATAAAACATTGTCAGCTTTGAATAGCCTCTTCAAGGTTCAGATACTGCAGCTGATTTGCAGGAATGTAACCTAGACCTTGCAAAAAACAGGGAATGGACCCCATTTCTCTGGCATATGGGTGTGTATAAGGTATGGTTTCATACTGCAGCTGGAGCTGCAGTCATAGCTCTGGGCCACAACCATTGGCATCTGCAGCCTTTGAAACAGGATCAACAGAATTTTCTCTATGTCTCCATACTTTTGTGCAGAATTTCCTTCTTCCTTTAATTTTGAGAGATGGGTTCCTGTAATAAACTCCGTAATGGAGGAAGTGGAAAGGGGAATAAATAGCCCCTTGCAGAAGTTTTCCTTGTCTCCTTGATGGTCATCCTTCCCCACCAGATTTTTATGGCTTTAGAGAGTAGGGAAGTTTTCAAGTGAGGCAAATGTAGAAGGGTCATGGGGAAGGCAACTCTTCTTACTGGTGCAGTGTGTTGTTTTCCATCTGAACTGATGGAAAACTTTGAGTAATTGACCTGCAAGTCTTGTTGTACCACAGGTTACCATTGAACCATTGAATCTCAGAATGGTTTGGGTTGGAAGGGACCTTAAAAATCATCTCCTTTCAATCCCCTGTCATCGGCAGGGACACCTTCCACTAGCTCTAAGCCTAGTCCTACCTGGCCTTGAACACTTCCATGTTCAGCTTGGTTGGGAAGGAGGACAGCCCATGCTTTACTCTAACCACATGCACTTCCTGCTTTTCCCTGGGGAGGCATCCTGCAGATCAGCATCAGAACAGTTAATCTTACTTTGGTGTGGTCTGTGTCTTCTGTCATTGCTCTGAAAGCTGTTCTCAGTCATCAGGCAGTGAGGCTGGCTGGTGAATGGTGCTGTGCTTTGGGTCAGGCATGAGGCAAATGGTAAAGAAAGATCTGCCCTACTTTGAACAGAAGAAATGCTTGAGTTGAGGTTTTCAAAACAGCTTAACACTGAGCTTGTTCTGCTCCAGTGTCATGTTAGAATGTACATGTGGAACTGCATGGCCCTCATTGAGGCTTTGTGGCTCTTAAATAAGCTAAACCATAGCTAATTTTAGAAGTATCACTGAAAAGCTCTTCTTCATCTCATTTCATGGCTAAGAATAGGAAGAGCTCAGAGCTCCAAACTTGTTCAACTAAGCAGGAGCCAGCCCAGTGCTGCTCTCAATGGGAAAAACCACATAACCCATGGCCCTGCTGCAGGACAGGAATGCCTGTACCACACCAGTTTGTGCTGGGAAGGGGGGTTACATTCCCAGTAACCCAGCATATGCAGTAAATCTAACCTATTAAGCGTCAGGAATTATGGTTTTCATTCATTCTCAAATGCAAACCTGCGTGCCTCTTGGTTTTTATTTGCATGAGCAAACTTTTGTGGGCAAGGCAGATGTAAAGCAGTGTCTCCATCAGTCTATTTTCCTTTCTGCTTCATGGGTTTCCTCCTCAGAGAAGGGATACAAAACACAGGACCTGTGCAGGACTCCCAGTTCACTTGGAGCAGCTGGGATAGGTCCAGGACAGGTTGATCAGAGGCACTCTCTGTGTCTCTGCCTCCTTCACCGAAGCCAACCAGAGCTTTGTGCTCATTCTGCCTAAGCAGAATCATTACCAAAGTGAAAGGCACCTGTGGATTGAGTCCAGGGATCCTAAATGACTTGTCAAAAGTCACACAGCAAATCATCTGTGCACATCCCAGTGAGGCTGATGAAAACTGGCTGCCATGCCCAGCTCCTAGCCCCTGGAGAGCTGTCTGACCTGCTCTGTTCCCAAATTCACCCTTCTTTGGAGTGCTGTTGCTCCTGTTTGTTTTTGTGGATATATCTGGGACAAATCCTAACATTCCACCACCAAGATGAAGTCAGTTTGGATTTAAAGGCAGCCATGGGCGAAACTGGGCATGTCGGAAACAGCACGAGACGCTTGAGGCAAGGAGGCTGCGTGGATGGCAACGTGTGTGTGTGTGTGTCTGTGTGTGTGTGTGTGTCTGTGTGTGTGTGTGTGTGTGTCTGTGTGTGTGTGTGTGTGTGTGTGTGTGTGTGTGTGTGTGTGTGTGTGTGTGTGTGTGTGTGTGTGTGTGTGTGTGTGTGTGTCTGTGTGTGTGTGTGTGTGTGTGTGTGTGTGTGTGTGTGTCTGTGTGTGTGTGTGTGTGTGTGTGTGTGTGTGTGTGTGTGTGTGTGTGTGT